AATCTCATGGTATATTGTCATATGTCAGTCAACTTGAAGGGACAAAACATCAATAAATAGTAGGCAGTGATGAGGCAGAAGGAACAATGATTTGACTCGATAAGGCAGTATCCTATACTCTACTCTGCCCCCCCCTCAAAATACTTTACACCACTCAAATTCATGGGTTTTTTGATGTAATCTGTATTCTTCCATATCCCACTTCTGCATTATTATTGTGATTTTGAATTTAAAATGTTCATTGAACAAATTTAAATTATGTCTTAATTTCTGTTTATTTCTTGCTTAATTTCTATCTTGTTTCAAATATTTTTCCCAAACAGACATAGTACCTATTTATATAGAGGACACACCATGTATGAAACAAGTATTACTGTACTGAGGATTAATTTTGCAGAGTAAACACTTCAATTGATTCTTTTTCCATGGGGCTTAAGACTGGAACAGGAATGGAAATACTAAAGGGATTGTGAGAATGAAAGAGATATGCATTAGGATTTCTGTTTAAATTTTATATACCAATTTTAGCTGATCAGCAGGAGTGCAGATTAGTGGAACTTGCTAAGAAGTAACACCAGGAGTTAAGGAGAGACTTCTAGGCGTAAGAGTCAACCGGGAAATTGGGCAGAAGGGACCTATTCTCTTTTCCTAAATTGGGACTCAAGGCAGCTTACAAAAGTTAGAACACAGGTAAAAAATTATGCCATACAAAAATGAAAAATGTAACCAAACTATCAATGAAAATAAACCCAGTTTAAAACATAACCATTTTAAATAAAAGATCTAAGAAGACAAAATAACACATGATGCATGACTTTTTCCCTTTCAGAAGTGACCTTCCCCCCAAATGTTCAATTGCCTATGGAAGAATGGTAGGGAGAGTACCAATCTAACCTCTTTAGATGGTTCTAGACCCCTGGATTAGCCACTATGAACATTTCTCCACATGTTCCCACCAGATGTATCTCAGGATGGTGGAATGCACAAAAAAGCCTACACAGATCTCAAATGATGAATACTCATAAGGGAATGTATTTGTTTGATAATCTGAAGAAATTAGACACATTTTAGACCAAAGTGACATCAAGAGGTGGGATTTTCCTTCTCTCCCCCTTGCCTTTGAGAACGCCTTGTCCCTAGTTGCTCTACGCAATAGTTATGTAGCCTTCCACTTTATCCCATGTCCTCTTTCCACAGCCACAGCTCTGCACTAATCCTATTCCCTTATCCTATTGTTTACATCCTGGCCACATTTACAGTAGAATCATAGAATCACAGAAGCCTAGAGTTGGAAGAGACCTCATGGGCCATCCAGCCCAACCCCCTGCCAAGAAGCAGGATAATAGCATTCACAGCACCCCCAACAGATGGCCATCCAGCCTCTGTTTAAAAGCTTCCAAAGAAGGAGCCTCCGCCACAATTTGGGGCAGAGAGTTCCACTGCTGAACAGCTCTCACAGTTAGGAAGTTTTTCCTAATGTTCAGGTGGAATCTCCTTTCCTGTAGTTTGAAGCCATTGTTCTGCGTCCTAGTCTCCAGGGCAGCAGAAAACAAGCTTGCTCCCTCCTCCCTATGACTTCCCCTCACATATTTATACATGGCTATCATGTCTCCTCTAAGTCTTCTCTTCTGCAGGCTAAACAGGCCTAGCTCTTTAAGCCACTCATCATAGGGTTTGTTCTCCAGACCCTTGATCATTTCAGTTGCCCTCCTCTGGACACATTCCAGCTTGTCAACATCTCCCTTCAATTATGGTGCTCAGAATTGGTCACAATATTCCAGGTGTGGTCTGATCAAGGCAAAATAGAGGGATAGCATGACTTCCCTGGATCTATACAGTATACTCCTATTGATGCAGGCCAAAATCCCATTGGCTTTTTTTGCCGCCGCATCACATTGCTGGCTCATGTTTAACTAAGTTGCAGATCATGTCTTGGGATATGAAGCAAAACCTCATAGGTCTATATGAGTTAATACCCAAGGTTTGTTGTAGTCAGGAGAATTTTTATTACAGAACAAACAATATTTGGAAGATTAGAACAGAACATAAACTAGAAATGGAGAGTGGGGGTTATCATAGCATATTTAGAATATCTTAATATTTGTAGTTTCATAGAGATATGTGTTATGTATGACAGATTATTAGAACCAATGGGTTCCAAAGTTCATTGGCCATTTCTTATGGGCATGGAGAAAGAGCTAATGGGGAATAGAATTCAACTGGCACATCAAAGTAATATGATAAATTTAGAATTTAGGAGTACAAGAAGGTGTGCTACTGAATTGTGGGTACATCAAATTGGCACTTATAAGGAGCATGTATTTAAAGATCATTGTACTGGTACATTGGATATTGTATTTGTGTAAAGTATAATTAGTACATGTTTGTCCCCATAACCTGGAACAAATGGACAAGGCAGAAATGGTTACTTATTTCAGGCAACATCTTTATTAAAACAAATTGATTCATAGTGCAGTGAGCACCGAACATTGAATCCAAATGAAATGTAATTTCCAAGTCAATTGGAGATTAAAGAGCAAATACAGTAAATTCCAATGCACTCATTGCTCACTACACATCCTGCCAGTTATACATTTAAAACAGCCCTATCTATATGGAGATTCTTCCTGAGATCTTTATCAGTCCATGATCCCTTCTTATCAATCTCTATGCCTGTATGCCAGTTTATTTGGGGACCACTGTCTAAATGTGACATAAGCACCTCACTGTGGACAATGAGAGAGATTAGCTATGCATCCTTCTTAAATGTGTATTTAACCATACGAGGCGTTATTAGAACTGTTGTCCTTTAACCTTTGATTACCACGATGGTTTTGTTCTTCCTCTTTGTTTTGCCAGAATAATAAGCTGACAATACCATAATGAAAATATGAAACTTTAAAAATGACCAGTATGCTGTACTAGGAACTAAACTTAGACATTTATTTATTTCATATCAAAAGCATTGCATAAATTAGTATAAAACTGATAAAAATTGAAGGAGCACAAGCAGCTAAATATCTTTTGACCAAAAATGGGCAACAGCAACCGCATTGTCTATAGCCTCAAACAATTCTCTGTACATGAGGCAGGACATTGCAGACAAGCATACAGATGCGGAGTTATCTGTTCCGCTTCACAGTCGCACAAGCTGGAGAATTCTTTTAGGTAGTGCCATTTTGTCAGATCATCTTTTGATCTGCCCACTCCATTTCTGAGTCTGTTCAGGGAATTCCAAATTGCCCATTCTTGATTGGCCCCTGGAGGCAGACCTTTATCGGGGGGGGGGGGGCATCCAATTGGGAATTCCTGGTTTAGGTGCCTAGACAGAAATGTTATGAACATCAGTGACCTAGACTACTAAGGTGTGGCAATTAGAATACCTAGAGCCCCTTTTTCATTTCATTTTTCATGATAGTACTGAATGCAGTTTAAATTATTATATCATATGCTGTATGCCATAATGTAAAGGCACATTTAAAAAAAACGCTTCCTGCCATATTTTCTTTAAACAATTTTGTGTCCCTTAAAATTAGATCCTGGTGTTTTATTTAATTCCTTTCAGTCTTGCGCTGGCTTCAGTTATCCAAGTATGAGAATTTAGATATTTTCCATTTATAATGAAGAGCAACTTGCTGTTGAAAGAGTTCTTCCAGTTAGCAAATTATTCTTAACCTAATCTTGGTCCTCACAATAATAATAAAAATCAATATGAATTATAGAGTCATTGCACAAGTCTCATTCAAAACAAAGTATGGTTCCATGGGAATTATTCCTAGCAATTCAATTACATGTTCCTTGACTCAATCAGATGTTGGACACTATTTTAAGATTTTATTTCCTCTTGCCTTGGCATTTACAAATATTGCATTAGTGCAAACACAGCATTTCAACACAAAACACTCACCGTATTTGCTTTTGGCTTTCTTTGCACAATGGCAACCAAACGTAAGGCCAACCATGTTGAAGCAGTTAAGACGGCCAGTCCCACAAAGCCCTATCATTACACTAGGAGGGTGGCTGAAAAAGATTCTAGTATTTGTGCATCAGTTCTAAATCTATTTGAAAATATATAATCCAGAAGAAACTTTTCTTGAAAAGCCATTCTGGTTAACACTTTACATGAGTAAAGTCTAGATAATATTATAATCTTGTGAAAACATAGGAAACAATTGTACAGATGTACACATCTAAGACTATTTACAGAAATTACAGAATAATTCATTGTTTTATATGCTGAGGTCTGACTGATTTTCATGATACTTAGACTTGTACACTTATGAAATCAATTAAATGAATCCAGAAACTCTGACGCTATCCTCAGTATTTCAAGCATGGAAATGAGAATGTCTAGGGTTTCCAGAAGACATTTACTTCATGGGAGAAGAGCAATGACAAATCTTGATAAAATAGTGAAGAGTAGAGACATTGCACTGGCAACAAAAATCTGCATAGTTAAAGCAATGCTATTGCCCATAGTAACCTATGGATGTGAGAGCTGGAACATAAGAAAGGCTGAGCGAAGGAAGATAGACACTTTTGAACTGTGGTGCTGAAGGAAAATTCTGAGACCTTGGACCACAAGATCAAACCAGTCCATACTCCAGGAAACAAAGCTTGGTTTCTGACTAGAGGGAAGGATATTAGAGGCAAAGATGTAGTACTTTGGCCACATAATGAGAAGGCAGGAAAGCTTGGAGAAGACAATGATGCTGGGGGAAAGGAGGGAAAAAGGAAGAGGGGCCGACCAAGGTCAAGATGGGTGGATGGTATTCTTGAAGTGATTGGCTTGACTTTGAAGAAACTGGGGGTGGCCACAGCTGACAGGGAGCTCTGGTGTGGGCTGGTTCATGAGGTCACGAAGAGTCAGAAGTGACTGGATGAATAAACAACAACAAAGGGTTTCCAGGATTATTTTGCATGGGGATGTGTTTATCCAAGGGGTGAGAAACATGTATCCCCCAGATACTATTTGACTGAATCCCCGCTCAGCCAACTGCAGCCCACCAGCATGTAAATGACATGTTCTCCATCCTTGTTCTCTCTACCTATCAAAATTGCAAAAAGATACTGAGACTCTTTCCAGGGCTTATCCTGGAAGTTTGACCTTATTATTTCTTTGAAGAAGCAGGCCTCATTGAGCTCGTTGCTGCTTACCCCCAATTGCTGCTCAAGTAGGCATTCTTTAAATATATTTCATGTGATATCATATCCATTTTGCATATGGAATTCATATCAAAATCATCTCCTGTAGAGGGAAAGATCTTCCATTGGGATTTGTAGTTGAACACTGTTGATTAACAAAATGGCTATAGCATCCATAAGTGTATTTAGGACTATTGCTTTAGTACTGATTTCAACACAGAGGAACATTCAGGAAAATAAATTGAAGCATGACAAAATGATGACATATCAAGGTGAGATTTTTCCTATTAAATATTATCTGTTAAACTCACACTTAAGTTAATTATTTCTGTTTGAACCTTGTTTAACTTTGGCAATAAAGCAATTATATGAGCACATTGTGTGTATGTGAGTCTTGCAGCCACTAATCAGGTGAGAAGTCTGGAGTTTATACATCTTCAAAGGGAAGGCATGGCACTCTTTTTGTGCAAGCCAAAACTAGCTGTCAGTTTCTCCGTGGACATTTTCCATGTGCACTTTGAGGTAGTCATTTCTTGTAAACTTTTTGTGGCACAGCTGGCATTCGGCCATGGGGCGGTTTGGATTGTGAGTCAGCTTGTGTCGGATCAGCATTTTCTTCAAACTGAATGACAAGTCACAAACCTAAAGCACAGATGAACAAAAAAACAAAAGACAAAACAAAACTATTACACTGATTGAAAGCCCTTAAAAATATGACATAAGTAGATATTTAATCACTTGACATTATGCATAACCCAGATAAGCAAGAAGGAAATCCTTCACCAAGATGCTTTAACTAAGTTATTGCAAAATGTGGATGGTTTGCAGCTTCCTTCTTAAAGGAGAGAGAACAACAGTCAGTTATAAGGTAGATGTGATATAGATATAGTGGTTCCAAGTTAGTAGCTAATATTTCATTTGCTACTCTGCACATACCCTCAAATAACAGCAACTCATTCTTTCCCAGCTTCAGCTTTATATTTTGTTAAGTCAGATGGGTGATCTGTGCAGCTCTCCAGATGTTGCTGAACAAACTCCAGAACCTTACCCAAGATATATAGAGTGGGAAATGCTGGGACTTGAGGTCCAACATCATTCAGATCAATGTGTTAAATAGAAATAATATTAGTTTTACGATGCCAGGAAAATATATATAATTATAAAATGGAATCTTGAGAAAGCCTTGGAAATAGCTATTTATCCAATGACCATGGAAAACCAGGAATTCTTTGAAAGCATGGAAATCAACATGTGGAAGCAAACAGACTAACAGAGAAAGGGTGGGTGGTTTTTCCTCTGCTCTGCCAGCCTACCTGATTTCGCTTCCTAACCACAGAGGAAGGAAAGCCCTTTCTTCTGTGATCAGGACATAAACTAATTTTTTTCACAACCTAGCCAAATGTTTGGCCTTATTTATAAAGGATTTCCTAGTGCCTTATTACAAAAGATTGCCTAGTGCAGTGGTTCTCAAACTGTGGGTCCCCAGATGTTTTGGCCTTCAACTCCCAGTAATTCTAACAGCTGGTTAGGATTTCTGGGAGTTGTATGCCAAAACATCGGGGACCCACAGGTTGAGAACCACTGGCCTAATGCCTCCACCTGCTCTGTCAATAGCACTGAGCTCCCTCAGCTAAGCAGTCAATGGACTCCTGTTTGTCAAAGGTGCCCATTGGGATGGAAAATGGTTGGTTGTTTCCTCACCACATCCTAAAAATAATCAGTTGATTTTAAAAAGTCAAGACATGAAAAATTTTAAATAAATTCTCACAGTTTTGATAGTGGGGCAAAAATTATTTCAACGTTTCCATCAACGTGTAAAAGACTGGAAGAAGCAAATATTCACATCCCTAGTACCGAAGGGCCAGTATGCTCATCACTACATCTCTTGATCTATTTGGAATTTGAGAGATTATTTATTTGTTTCTCATTTCAGTTGCTCACATTGACATTGAACTGGAAACTTCCCAGGTATGATGCAAAGGTGGCTCAAGCGCCACATGCTCTTTTGAATAAAAAAGATTAACTCAAAACTACTTTTGCAGAGTACAGGAGGAGAACAGAACAGTTAAGCCTAAAATCACATACTTCAGGTTAAAACTATAAAATTTGGCACATTTATACACTGGCCCATGCTAAACATTTATCTGATGTGGATCCAAGCAAGCAGTGCCTGCCAAGAACTAGAAAATTTACTATTCTATCTTTTTTTTAAAAAAAGCCTGAGTTAGAATGAGTGAGAGATAGAATTTACAACCTACAACAACCAAATGTATTTTTGGTTTCTTTTGTAGTCACAATTTATATGCATCTTAAAAGCCTATATAGTAAATAGAGTGACATAGTTAAAGCATAACCAACAGGAGTAGATGACTAAATGTATTTTTGTTATCTATTACTCTGGTTCTTTCCTGTTGCTTTCTTTGGGCATTAGATACGGTGTCAAGTATATTATAACAATTCTCATGACTTCCAATGAGGATAAGAAACTGGAGGGTTCACTCTAACCTAAAACTTAAGCAACCACAGATCACATTTCCAAACATTAGGGATAGACCTTAATAAAGAATGCTTTATTGAAGAACAAGATACTATGAAGCAAAGGAGCCCCGTGATGGCAAGATTTGGCCAATTCAAATCAGACTTCCAAAGATCCAGAGTATAGCTTAAGAAATGCATCTGGACTGACTCTTCACACAACACAAGACACACAAGATGCAAGATACAAAAGAACTGTATCAGACTTAATGCACTACTGAGAAAGAAAATAATGAGAAAGCTGTTAGACTTAGAAAATTATACCCAATGCATGCATAAATGTATTTGGGACTGAAACTGAGCAGCCTACAATTAACTTTGAGTTGATTGTAGGCTGGATCAAATTGGCTCAACATCTTTATTTGGGCACAAGACACAGGCAAATATAGATCTCAAGCCCACAGAAAGTCATATGATCTAATTCTTTTCTGAGAAATGAAAAATACTAGCCTATGGCATTTGGATGTATTTTTGAAGTCACAGCAACATTTCTGATACTGTTAGGAGCCCCATTCTCTACCAATCATAATATCATGGTTCTATTTGAACAATATGTAGTTTTCCATGATAGAGCCAAGTGGATTGTGCAAAGTCAGTGAGTCAAAGCAGCATCTGTTGTCAAAAAAAAAATAGTTCTTGAAGAAATGTGCACCAAAAAGACATCTCTTCAACAACACAGACTCTGTCATGAAGAATATTTATGGGGATAAAATATTTCAAATATTCAAGTGTAAGTTCAAATTCAAGTTCATAGTTCAAGTACATGTTTATGCCTTGAATTGGTTGCTAGATCACACAGAGTTTGATTGGTAACATATAATAAAAGTTGCTCATTTTTAACCCACACAATTGTGTTGTCTCATGATTTCACTGGTGGGAGAGCAAAAATATTATGAACTGAGACACTGTTGATCATTAAGGAGGCATGATGTGTTTTCAATTGCTGCAATACCACAATAAAGGACATATTTTCAAGAACAATTTAACTTGCGTAACAGCGGCAACATGGTTTTCTTCACTGAATGAACACAAAGAGAACAAATTTCCAGGTTTCCAGTTGAAGTTGATCCACAGATTATGGTGTTTAAGTTAACAGTAATTTGATTGCTTGTGCTTACAAAAATACATGAGTCTGTATCATTTTGTTAGCGGTTGGGCTGTATTCCATCCTCTTCCCCACCAACACCTAAAAAACTCTTGTGGAACCAGAACTAAAGAAGAAAAATCACAACCCAACCTGACAGCAGAACATAGCTCTGAGTGGCCAATGTGATGGAAAAAGAGGAGAATCAGTATATCTTTACATATGAAGCATCATTTAAAAGACTTCCAGAAAAAGATGAAATAAACATTTGCACTAGAATTAATATCCTCACAGAAATATTTTGTTACCGCTACAGGGCTCTCACTACTGCTTTCAATGAGCCAGTTTAGTAGTTTATGTGTTTGAATGCTTTCATAACATAAACTGTATTTTCTGGCGTTTAAGACTACTTTTAACCCAGGAAAATCTTCTCAAAAGTTACGGGTCATCTTATACAGCAGGTGTCATCTTATAGGGTGGGTGCTGAAACTTCCAAGCCGGACTGGAGATTCTGCGGTTGCTGCATATGGTGGGGGGAGGTAAAAAACAGCCGTAGCAAAGGCGGCAATGTACAAGTACGGTAGAATAAAATCCACTCACCAGGATTCATAGAAAGAAGTGACTTAACACAGTCCCAATGACAAGGTGAGGGGACGCCTCACCAGGAAGGTGTAAGTGTAGGGCAGAGCAAGCCGCAGGTGTTTGGGATGGCCGGGGTATGGAAAAAAGCGATAGAGTGGTGCTGTGCTCTGAAAACACGCCTTTTTCACCCATCTGGCCTGCCTTTGTGTCCTATTAACATACCTCTTTCTCTGCCTCTCATATCTTGCTCCTAAGGACTGCAGTGAAGTGGAGCAAGCGTGCATGTGTGAGATCTGAGAGGCAGAGAAAAGGTACAGTAATAGGAAAATTACCATATAAAATCAAATCTGATGTTTATTAAATTTTTATTTGGTGTGCATTAGAAGAGGGATAGTCTTATGGTGAGTATATCCCAAACTCTATATTTTAACTGCAAAAGTTGGGGGTCTTCTTATATGCCCAGCTGTCTTGTATATCGGAAACTAGAGTACCTTCCTCCCCCCCCCCCCTTTTCCCTCTGCAGGCTAGAGATTTTACTATTTCTCTCTGTCCTTTTGTGACACATAAAAATGTTTAAGCAGAAGGGCAAGCACAATCTTTACTTTGAAACCGGGTGAAGGACACTCTACTTTAGAACAAACAACATCTGGCGGAGTCGAGGCCATGTGTGATAACAACAACCTTGAGGTTTCATAGTGATCTTCATTAAGAAAATGAAGGCACTAGAATGTCGCTATTTTCACTCTGGACATATTGATGCAACTCCACTTTGCCTGTGGCACACTATCCCAGGTTAATTAAACAGGAGGCCACTTGAGCATCACCTCTGCACAACTAAATGGCAACTACAAAATGTCATTTTAACCAGACCCAAATAACTCAAACTTTAACAGGGACAACTGCTACAATAAACAGATATAACCCTACAATGTAGAGACAGGCAAATTTGCATAAATGCACATGCATGAACATCTTAGAGGCATCGCTTATCTTACTGGAAGTACACTGTAAGAATACCAACGTCAGCAGATGGGCTGTGTCAAATTCTGCTACCAGTAAGTAGCTTTTAATGAGTTTCAATCATGCAGTGATGACAGTTTAACAATGGCACATTATCTCTGCAAAAGGAGAAGAATAAACTGCTTACAGATGCACACTAAATACCTATTCCTCACTGAGAAGTAAATTCCTCTTGATATGCTATAGCTGCAGGACTGAAAAGCCTACAAACAAAAAAGAAGTACACATTGCATAGGTAAAAACAAAACAAAGCAGCGGAAAGGATTTTTCAACGATACTTGAATGCATGAAGAAAAATTATAAGAGGAATTGCCTCAGATAGGAAAAATGAGACATACAAAATGCTGACACATTCTGAAAATTAAAGTTTGCAGGCAGTTTTTGTTGTGAAATGTTCTAAGATATGAAAACTATATCTGAA